GAACTTTCTTTAATATATTTTAACAAAAGATTGGAATTTTTTTTTATCATTTCAAACTCATTCAGTTTTTGCTTTTTTGTTTAAATCAAATCACTCTTAATGTATCAAAATATCCGTTTTGAAACACTTGAGTTCAGAAAATTCGATTTCGTACGGAGCATTTAAGAATTAAGAAACTTATAAGTAAAAACTGATTTAAAAAAAAGATATTTGTCAGAGACATCAAAAAAACTAGTTTTTTAGCTTTTCACATAATAGTTTTTGTAACTTAGAAAAACGGACAAATAAACGTTAATCACTGGTTAAAAACATTGATAAATCGACTTAGATTTTGATACTATTGAAACACCCTAGTCTAGATTTTGATACTATTGAAACACCTTAGTCTAGATTTAGATACTATTGAAACACCCTAAATTAGATTTTGATACAATTAAAACACCATAGTTTAGATTTTGATACAATTGAGACACCCTAGTCTAGATTTTGATACGATTAAGACACCCTAGTCTGGATTTTTATACTATTGAGACACCCTATTCTAGATTGTGCAAGTTGTCTATGCTATTCCTTCGTTAATCTATCAAATACTTGAACAGATAAAATACAATTGTAAATATCTATCATTCTTTCATTCTTCTGTCATGAAGTTATCTACACTAAATCATTAAACTAGTTCTTCTACCTTTTCTTCCACAGAGTAAATAAGAATTAAATAACTTTTTGATTAACTTTTAAGTTTATAAAGATTTGCTTTTTATAGAAGTAAAAAATACATATTTTATAATAAACCTCAATGGATTAGTTGAGAAATCCACAAAACCTAATTTTAATTTGCATGTAATTTCTTAAGTCTATTTCAGGGCTTGAATTTTTCCATAATGCCAAGCATAATATTAATTATCTAATTTGTGGTCTTAGTTCTACATCTTTCTATTTCTCCTTCTTATTTCTGTGCACCTATCATATTTTTTTATTTTTCCAATCTACTCATTATTTTTTCTTTTTTATTCGTTTTGTTTTATATTTCTATATGTTTTTTTTTAGATTGTAATTTATAATACTGTTTTACGTGTTTCTTTTTTTTCTAAAAATCGATGAAAATCGATTATGCAGATATCGAAGAACCCATCAAAATGTGGAATTGAAAACCGATATTCAAGCAATAATATGTTGTAATGAAGTTGTATTAATAAGATTTTAACAGTGGACTTCCTATAAGCCCGCAGTTTTATTTTTTTTTTATTTTTTATTTTTGAATTTTTTAAACAAGTTGCTGTCAGGAGAGCTGTCAGGAGAGCTGTCAGGGCTGTCAGAGCTGCCAACAAACAATAAACTAAGAAAGATAAAGCTGTCAGCAATTATCTGAGCCTTTACTCACATGTTTATCAATTTATTATTTGCATCGACAGTGTGTCAAGAAAATCAATGTCCCATAATTAAAATGGATAATTTTAAGTATATTTTTTCGGGACAACCTGTGTGTGTGTCTAATGCTTTTGTACAGTGAGGAATAGGAAGACTACTTTTAGACACAAGTTAGGACTTTAACTAGTCCAATTAACATAGGACACAGGACCATTATGAAGCATAAACAGACCTCTTTAACTTAAAAAGTTACAAATGACACTTGTTGCTTCTGCACTTAATTATTGCTATAATGTCGTTTTCCTACTCTACAGTTTTCTGGTTCTCACTGTAAAAATTGTACGCTGTACATAACTCATTGACGTCTATAATAAACATTAGTAGACGTCATTGAGTTATGTACACGTACAATTTTTGTAAACAACCAAATCAATGAAAATCAATGCAAACGAAAGAAACCAAATAATCAAAACCCAAAACAATCTTGGCTTAGCCAAACCAAACCAACCCGATATTGAAATAGAACCAATTGAACAACAATCCTCATCTAATTAAACCAAACCAATCCAACCCGATATTGAAATAGAACCAATTGAACAACAATCATGATCTAATAAAACCAAACCAATCCAACCCGATATTGAAATAGAACCAATTGAACAACAATCCTCACCTAATTAAACCAAAATAATCAAAATCAAAGCAAAGCAAATCAATCTAAATCGATCTAAAAATTGGAGAATCGTTTCGCGAAAATTTGGGATTTTTAGCATTCCCTTTGATAAATAATATGCAAAAAAAATTATGCTTTTTTTGGTAAAAACCAAAACCAATTTTAATTAATCCAACTAATATCCAATTGAATTCAAATCAAAGTTGCATCAAGCTGTATGAGAAAGGTATTGTAATAAGTTTATAAGTTTGATTTTTTCTTCGGGGTTAGGGAGGTTAGAAGGGGATCAGGATCTTAGAGGGGATGTAAGGGCAAGGAAGGAGAGGTAAGGGGGGGTGGTACTAACTATATATGTATATATTTCTATGTATATTCATACTTATGATCTAGTTTTCACAGATGTAATCTTACCTTCACGTTCTCATATATACATACATACGTACAGGGTGGCTCAAAAAAAACCACAAACATAAACACGTTTTCTAGAATTATAAACTAAATTATCCGTTTAACAGAATGTAAGTGACTTTACACTTTTTATTAGAATCTCTGTACATAGATGTACAGAAGGTTATAATGCAAGGAAAGTTAATTGAAGTTGCGTATATTCTGCGTACATATTGAAACCAGTTCTCTCTGGGCGGAATTTGTAAACAAGATTAGATGCATCAGTTTTCGTTTAGTATCCGAGGAGGTTAAAAGCATTTAACTTTGATAATTTTGATAATTCACATAATAGTTTCCTATGACCAGAATATTTCATTGATTTTTTAATGCGAAAGATGGATCCTATGTCGAAGGCTTCGACATCCGTCTTGTGTTTACATTACCGCCCAGAGACAGTACACTACAGTAAAAAAGATGCGTACACCTCTGAAATAACTTTCCTTGCATTATAACCTTGGATGTACATTTTTAAACAGCGCGTGTAGGATTAACATATTTTTTATATCTTTTCATAAATAATTAGAATTGTTTTCTAAAACTCACAAACCTAATAGTTTAGATTCCTTAGCAGTTTCTTTAAAAGAGTATCTAAAGTACTTCCTATTTACAACAGTACCCATACACACTTTTATTATTGACCATATTAAGGTTTTACGGGTAACTTTGGGAATCGAGCTCACGCTGATTTAATTTGAGGGTCACTTGAGATTACAATGATTAGTCCCTTTAAAATGGTATGAGTGTCTGTAATCGATGTATGTTCATCATTTATATTTTTCTAAAGCAAAATTACAATAAACAATATAAAAGTTTTCTATATTTTAATATGTTACAAATAGCTGGCTAAACAGGGCTGGAGCAAATTAAATGATTTTTTTTAAGGAAACCTTTTGAGTACCCTTCGGGTAACAAGGGCCAAAACAAATTCTAAATCTATTTTTTTCAACGAAATTTTTTTAACTTCAGCTTGTAACAAATATTTTTATTTTCAGGTGTTGTGTTTGTTGGGACTGCAATGTTGGATCCAGGAGGTGTTGGGACGGATTCTGGTCACGATTCATTACCAAGCATGGAGAGTTCTCCAACCACATTACCTTCTCCTAAACATTCTAGATCACCCTTACCATCACCCTCACCCCCACCAACCCTACCCTCACCCCCACCAACACAATTCAAGGCGCTTTGCGCCCTTCTTTCTAGGCTTATAGGGCGCTTCCCTCCCATCTTCTATTTAAATTGTGAACATGTTTTTTTTGTTTACATTTAAAAACAAAGAAGAAATTTTTTTTGCAGATTTAAAAAAAAATTCCCGGATTTTCAAGAATTTAATTTTTTTACAAAATTAAAAACCTTTAAAACACATTTTTAAAAATTTTTATCATTCATAAACCTTCCATGTGGTCACGTGATGTCCCACAAAAAATTTGGGCTTGATCGGTCCAGCCGTTTTGACGTTTATTGGATACAAACAGACAGACAAGCCAAATTTATATATAGATATCATATACGCCCCTGTAGAAAGATCAAACCAGAATGGAAGAGTTATGTTTAAAGCAGCATTTAAATATAAAATATAAATAAAATAAGTGGCTCTGTGAGACTACTATAAGAGATTTTCAATTCAAACCCAGTATTCTTCAGAAAAAAATATATTATTTAAGAAAAATATATGCTATAAGCGTGAAAATACATGATCATAGTGAAGAGGCGGGTAGAAGGCCAGAGAACATGAAAAAAAGGTCGGGGTGGGGGGAGGGGGAGGAAGTGTTTTGTGGTAAAGGAGGGGTGGGTGTGAGGGTAGGTGATTATTATTTGTGGTAACTGACATTGAGCCAGAGGGAAGGGATTTTAATATCAGGAGGTCATGTGAGGATAAGACAATAACACAAATTTACAGAGCGTCCCATATCATATTAGATTATCTCCAATTTTTAACACCTGAATACGCACATAATACTCGAAAAATCTAGCATTTTCTGCAAAAAAAATTCTATTAGCCTTATTAAATTTTTCCAAATTGTTCATTCTTCTTAAATTTTCTGATTTGTCCCCAAAATCGTAATTTAGACCCATTGACGCGGTCTAATTGATGTGGGACACCCTGTAAAAAGACAATTTTCAAAATGTTTAAGAGGTATCATGAATTGAGGAGCGGGGTTACATACTTTTGAAGAAGAAGAGGGGGGAGTATTGAGGGTGGGAATCCGATGATTATTACTTGTATAAAGTTTTTAATTAAACTGTTCAATAGTTTCATATTTCAAGAGAAGAAGCAAACACAAGAAATAGATAGATAGATAGATAGATAGATAGATAGATAGATAGATAGATAGATAGATAGATAGATAGATATATAGATAGATAGATAGATAGATATATAGATAGATAGATAGATAGATAGATATATAGATAGATATATAGATAGATATATAGATAGATAGATAGATAGATAGATAGATAGATAGATAGATAGATAGATAGATAGATAGATAGATATGTAGATATGTAGAGAATGTATAAGTCTAAGGAAGGGATGTATGTTAAAACTGGAAAGATGTGAGGGTGGAGGTGGTGGGGGGTTCATTTACCGGAAATTTTGTGCATATCCTTTGCTATAGTTTGCACATGCAAGGTTATATCTAATAATAGAACAAGACGACGGGGGGGGTTTAATGCGAAAGATGGATCCTATGTCGAAGGCTTCGACATCCGTCTTGTGTTTACATTACCGCCCAGAGACAGTACACTACAGTAAAAAAGATGACCCTTTCCTTCCCCCTTTCATGCACATGCACGACGGTACCCTTGACACATTTTTCTGATGAATAATAATATAATGTTGTTTGTCTAGGTTTAAAAGTGTTTAATTTTGATCATTCCTATATGTTTTCCAGAAATGGAATTGCGCAAGTCACTTTTGTATGAGAACCCATAATTTTCAAAATAATCAGCTTGAAAATTGTAAACATTGATATATATTACTTACTTGATCAGACAAAGCTATTAAGGGTACCAATGTGAATCGGGAATGGCCATCTTTGTCTGGATGATCACTTTGAAATTACGCTTACAATCCCTTTAAACCGATAAAAAAAAAGAAACAAATGTAAAATACAATTTATTTTGTTTAGTATAAAGATAGCTCACGAGGTGCACAGGACAAACTCCCTAGAGCCGAGATCTAACAACAACAACACAATGATCAACAGGAACATGCACAACCTTCACAACAACATGCACAGCATATCTAACAGCATGCACAGTCCCTCTACCAGCATGCATAGTCCGTCAACCAGCATGCATCCTCACTCCAACAATATCTACGCGCAGGCAAACGGCAAGCTAAGCAACGGCATGCAACTGTTGGATAACAAGCTGCAGTACGATAACAAGCAGCAGTACGATAACAAACTGCAGTACGATAACAAACTGCAGTACGATAATATTTTACAAACAAGCGCTATTTACAACAAACAAGGACGAGTCAGGTAAAGCATAAAACAAAAAGTTTCTTTTTAAAATATTTTTATTATTTTCTTTTAAAAGGGCATATTAAGAAAATGATTAGTTAGTTAATTTATGGTGGTCTAATTTTTGAGTATTATGATATCATATGAGTAACTAGAAATATTGCTTACAATTCCTTTAATTGTAATGAAAATGTTTGAAAATCATTTCTGCAATCCAATCCGATTCACATAACTAAACTTTAAAAAAGCCAAAGTATTTTACAATATTTACTAGTTGTAGTTATAAACGATCAAAGCTAATTTTTCAGAAAATTACATAAGAATACCGTTAAAACAAGATTACTTGGTGTTTTTTACAATAATAATTTTAAGGTTGAGTTTGGCGGAAAATCTGCGGATTGAGGACGACCATGAGAACTGTCCGCCCCCGAACATAACTCCAGTCAGCGGGGTACCTAACTATTCAGTAAGTTCCGAATTCCATTTTTGATGTTGATAAGCAGATTTTAAAAATCGGAAGAAATAAGTTTTTTTGTGTCCAAGGGTCTTCTTTAGACCATTTTGTCTTCAGTTGAAAGATGTACTTGATACAAAAACTCATATAAACGTCAGAAATGACAACAATCGAAAAGAAATGGGTTTAAAAACAATTTTGCATCCCTCCCCCATCGTTAAAGTTTCAAGCAGCGGCGCCCCCAACAATATTAACTGTTCCTAGGAAAACGTGCAATATTTAGGATAATTCCTCTATCCTTCAGCTTTTAGCGGTTTGGACACTTTTTTATATCCATGAAGGATTTAGCTTGAAATTCATAATACCCCGACCCGACCCTGAAACATGGAGAAGTCTAATTGAGCCCCCCCCCCCCCTCCTACGGTTTGAGAAAATGTTTCAACCCGAGGCATTAGAAAAGATGCATTTTAAGCAAAGAAATCGCAACATCTACCGGTTTTTCTGCAGCTTTTAAAATCTATACAGGGTTTCCCTTAAAACATTAGAAATTGGGAACGCCTTTAAAATTTTTTATTTATATTACAAACAAGGCAGCCCACAACTAGAAAAAAAACCAGAATCATTGAAATGCTGTAATTCAAAGTCGATTAACAGTCTGATATGTTTATTAGGACACCCTGCACATGTGTAATTTGTACAATGTGGATCCAACCAACCCACTTTGGGCCATTAAGAGTTAAAACATTTAACACCAAAAACCGATGTTTGTTCTCGCATGCCTAGTTGTTTAACCCTATTTGTACGAGCAATATTACAGTGATTCACAAGTATTTATGAAAATAAAACTGGAAACAAGTGCTTTATTTTTAAGTATATTTTTATTTTAATATTCCTGCACTTGACACGTTATTGCCTCATTGATCAATTATATCATTTGGTTTACTAATAATAAGTCTGAAAAAAAAGATTTTTTTTACCAACAAGTTTTAGAATTCTCTTTCATTTAAAAAAATGCTTCAATTGGCTTTTATGAATTTAGACATTTTAAACTTCAGATCCTTCACATAGATCCAGACTGTTTTATAGATGTTGCACCAAATTTATTAAGCTTTATTTTAAAGAAAAAATTGGCTAAATATATTCTCATAGATGTTTGTTGCAACCTTACGTTCTATTTTTGCAAGAGATAGCCTTGCAATTTTAATTATCTTATCTAAAGCTTCAGATTTCACATAAAGTTCTTGTAATGTTATTATGTGTTGTTACTCTTAGTAGTGAACAATAGTGGAGAAATTATTCTGATATCTTCACCTGGAAGCAAAATTGCATTTATTCGGAAATCAGTTTTTGCTGACAATTATTTCAACTATTGCCAGACCAGGCCAGTCAAAAACCGAACTTTATATCGTCATATTTAAACAATTATAAGTCGTCATTAAAAAATCATCCTTTGTGGGGAACCATGCAGTAAAGGTGAAGATGTGAATTTTTGAAAACATATTGATATGGTTATATATCATTGGATATATATATTATATAATTATTCCAAAACTTTAAAAAGTAACCAATTTAAAGCAAAAAAAAATCTGTTGCCTATATTTCAAACCATTTATTCTGTTAGATCAAATAATCTAAATTTAAAGTACAAAGCTTTACATTAGATTGGAAAGATATAGAGATTAGAAAATTTGAAATTGCGGCGAAAGCTAAATTGCTTTGTATTTAAAAAAAAACTTTTTATTTATTCTAACTCGATCACTGTATTTTGTTTACAGATGGTGTTGTTGTTTTTGGTCTGGTTGACCTTCGCTATTATTCTATTTGAAATTGAGATTGTGAATCCTTTTGACTGAGAAAGGGTTGAACCCTGATCAGATTTGATCTAAGGGAACCACCCAGCTCATCTATACTCTTTATACTTCAACGCATTTAATTGTTAAATATTCAGTGGCCGGGACTTTTAAATGAAACGGCGATAAAGGGGTTAATCCGGGAAACACAGCTGATGACTCGTAATTTTTCGATTTTTCGGTGAACTATTTACATTATTTTTGGGGCCAAAACGATAAGAAAAAGTGCTTTCTTCAGGATAAAGAGTATATTTAAAATGCACTGTAAGCATCCGAGTACACGATTCAGTACCATTGCATTGTGCACACTGCTCACTGCACAATTAAATATGCACAATACGTGCAAGGTTTTCGTCAAGAAATTATTTAATTTAGAAATTTTAATAACACTTAATTAGTGATGATAAATCAAATATAAAATCGATATAAAGAAAGGAATTGAGTTTTTGCCACAAACTCGAATTTTCTAATCCTTATATCTTGGCAACCTGATGGTGGAAACCCTTGATATTTCAAACTTAGGCTATTTGATCTAACAGAATTCATAGTATGAACTATCTAAGGTCTACGAAAGTGGGTTGCAAAGATATAGGTATTAGAAAATCCTAGCTTGTGACAAAGACTCAATTCCCTTAAATCCCGCGACAAAATTTTCAACCTTACCGGAAAACCTTGCCTTTTGAACAACAGTTTAAGAAACCAGGGTGCAACGATAAAAGAATCCCAAATTAGAGTTTGTGGTAAGAGTGTTTAGTCCTTTTAATTTTTCGAATTTCAGCACTAAGCTAAATAATTTTGTCGAAAAATAGTTTTATCTGAGTTTGGGTGTTTTGTGCAGATTTGTTACAGAGATGACTAGTTTATGGAGTGTGAACTTTTAATTTAAATTTTACTGTCTTCTAACCGAGTTAACATACCAAATTTCGTCGAAAATAAAATAGAACAACATTTTAAACAGATTATATTTTCAATTTTTACAAATTCAAGCAGAATTGAAATAACATTTTTTTCAGAATAAAACTGAGTTGGTTCGACCGATTGCTTTCCGGCCGATTCCTCTTCAGAACGATCGTCAAATGGCCGATCGTCAAATACATTCTGGACTCGGGAATCGTCCGTCCTCGACACATGAAGGAGATATTTCCAACTACGGTTCAATCTACATAGACAAGGTGGGTTTGTAACTTGTATCTTAAAGGCCAAATCTTTGGGAAACATATGCATCTCTGACTATCTATCTAAGATATAGATGTATATCTATCTAAGATATATGTGTATATCAATCTATCTATCTATTTAACAATTTAACAGCCTAACTTTACGAGTGTGTAATCAGCATAACGTTGTATTCATTTCTTCGTCATCATTCCTTTTTTTTTTTTTTCTTCAAGAAAGGTTTTTAACAACTTGCAAGTTGCAACATATGTTTGCCATTTTCGTTCCTGTTCGAACCTGCAGTTACTTTTGTTCCTGTTCGAACCCAGTTACTTTTGTTCCTGTTCGAACCCAGTTACTTTTGTTTCTGTTCGAACCCAGTTACTTTTGTTCCTGTTGGAACCCAGTTACTTTTGTTCCTGTTGGAACCCAGTTACTTTTGTTCCTGTTCGAACCCAGTTACTTTTGTTCCTGTGCGAACCCAGTTACTTTTGTTCCTGTTCGAACCCAGTTACTTTTGTTCCTGTTCGAACCCAGTTACTTTTGTTCCTGTTCGAACCCAGTTACTTTTGTTCCTATTCGAACCCAGTTACTTTTGTTCCTGTTGGAACCCAGTTACTTTTGTATATTCCAGTTACTTTTCTATACTTCTTTGTATTTTACGTTTTTCTATCTAATAATGTTACTGAAAGATAATCTAACAACAAATTTTACATTTTCCATTTTTTTAACGAGGGAGGTTTTACTGATAAAACTGACTGTAATATTGAAAACAATTATATGTGGCAGTGATTTATTTTTAGTTCATCATTGAACATAAATTTAAAAAAAGTTGAAAAGTCTGAACGATTTTACTGTGCTCAACTTTATTTATTATAGGGTGCCTCTTTTTATTTATAGAATTGCAACGACTTTCTTGAATTAACGTTAAACTTATTGTGAAATTATTCATTCTTGTACATTTTTTAATATAAATTTACGAGAAAATTTAGCCTTTTTGACTCAATATCATGCCAAGACATATATATCGCCGTGAAGTTATGATTAACAAGCAATCTTCATCCTTATCTATATTAAGACTCAGTTTATCTGCAAAAATAATTAGAAAAGAATATCGAAAAATAATAGAAACAAATATGTTACAATGCAGTTTTGTAAACAATGGAAGAAGCTGAAAAGCATATCCTCTATATTAAAGCTATAATACAAATTCTTAAAGTTAAATAATCTATATTTTTAGGGCAATAAAGGTATACAACGACGGGTTGAAGGGCTCCAAGTGTTCCAAGGGCACCATCCACTGGGGAGCAAAGATGTGAACGGCAGACAGTACGGAAGTAAGTTCAATTCTAGTCAACATAAACTTAAACAGTTAGTGATGGACGTGTAGTTTGTTTACACACATCGATAAGAATTGGAAATTTTTTATAAAATTCAAAATTGAATTCTTCTTTAGTTGGCTTTTAGAAAATAATATAAAATTTGCATTTTGATAAAAAAAATTTACCTAAAATTTTGCCGTATATATATTATGTCAGAGTTAAAAAGTTTGTAAAATTATATAACATACAGTTTCTAAATTTAAACAGATGATTCTTGTGGTGCATTTCAAATTTTCAAAAGAATTAAATGTTAAAAAACGTTTTAAACGATACCCAGCCCTGACTATACTCATATTTGAGTATTGTATATATATAGGATACGCCAGACAATCAAATATGCATCAATGTCAAATATTGAAAAATAGTTTAATATGGGTCTACAGATCAAAACAATACAACATAGATAAATATAAGATAGATAGATAGATAGATAGATAGATAGATAGATAGATAGATAGATAGATAGATAGATAGATAGATAGATAGATAGATAGATAGGAATGAAAATTCCAAAAAGAACTAAAATTTAAAATTTAACTTTGAATGTTAACAAAATGATAATTTGTTAGATGCGAGCAAAAAATCATTTACAAATTAAAACTATAGGTGTGCTTTTTACCAATAGATATAAAGGAAATGAGTTTTTGTAGACCTTTCATATTTCAGACTATGAATTCTGTTAAATTAAACATTTTAGGTTGTAAATATCAAAAGTTTTCTACATCAATGGTTGCAAAGATATAGGGATACTAAATTGATTGTAATTTTATTCCACAGCTTAATTTTGAAATCTGTTTTTGAACCTTTTTTCTTAGATATGACAATAAAACTAATTAAAATAAAAATAGAATAAAAATAAATATTGAGCGATGACAATTGATGTGTCCGGCCTTTTAAACCTTAAAATGGAAGAGTTTTTTGTTTGATGATGGATGGTTTATAGAGTTTCTTTTTACAAAACAATTTCTCTTGAAAGCAGAGAAAATAACAAAATGCAGATTTCTTCCGGCCTGCCTCGGGGTTAGTTTTGTTTTTGGTTGTAAAGATTTCTCTGCAGTGTGGTTTGTAAACAAATTGAACCACACCTGAGCCCGCGATTTAAAAGCTTCGGCTCGAGTCTTAATTCCTTAAACGCAGCTTTAAGACCCAATCTTAGACCCAACTCTGACGACAGCTTGTGTCACGTGATTGACAGCTGCGAGATCTTAGGCTCGACTTAAGGAGTTAGGCCCAATGAAAATAAAACCGACCTTGGTTGGTTTTAGTGGAGAATAAGGCTCAATGTTGGGTCTTCTTCTCATCAAAACTCGGAATGCACCAATTCCAACTATGAAAATCCGCCAAATACAACATTAAACCGGTTTTATGAACTAAATCCTCTTGAAAAATAGATGCAACTTAAATTCGAAAGCCCGAGCCGTAAATAAGGCTCAACAACAGCTTAGACCCGAGTCGTATTTTCTTGAATTTTTTAAATCGCCGGCTCTGTCAACGGGGAATTTTGTAATGCTGTGAAACTGTGGAATACGGGGGGGGGGAGCAGGTGGTGTTTTTTGCTCTTTAATTTTTTTAATTTATGGAAAAATGGATAAAAGCAAGGGGCTAATAACAGGATTTAAAACAACATTAAAACAGGGGTCTATATAATTCCTTTTTCAAATTTGGGATTAAAAAATTTGAAATGAATGGGGGCAAATTGTTTTGTAATGATAATTAAAAAAAAATTAGGGGCAACATTTGTTTTTACTGGGTACAAATAAATTTTTTAGGGGCAAATGTGAGTAGAAAAGGGGCAATTTTTTATGTTTGGAGGCATTTAGTTTTTGGGGACATTTGTTAATGTGGGCAACTATATATTTTCTGTGGGCAATTTTATAAATATTAGGGGCATTCAAAGTAAAATTGTGGACAAGTTGAAAAATTTTTGGGTCAATTTTAAAATTATTGGGGGCATAATGTGTTAGTGGATTTTGAGAATGTTTTTTTAACTGGGGGCATGTTTTATTTATATCAAATCAAATTTATTCACCTTTATCCTCAACCATACCAACCAGCATACACCACTATATATATAAATATATAACATATCAAAATTAGAAACCTGACCCACCCTATATTCACCCTTCAACTATAGGGCTGGGCACTTTACTGATTATTCAATTGGATAACTTCCAACAAGTTTTTGGTGGGATTGCAAAAAAAGGAATTATAAGTCTTATAAGTCTAAATATTAGAAAATCTGAGTTTGGGCCAAAGACTCAATTTCTATACGTGCAAGCTGCCCAAGTTTGAAAACAAGTATACAATATTTTCCTATTTTTTTCATTCGTTAAACGAATTTCCCTTAAATCTTCAATAAACTTACGCTGTCGGAACGTTGTCCATCCCTACCTCCAGGCTCCAACCCACCTTTCAAGCTTTTCATAATTCCGAGGCAGGATCATTGGTCATGTACGTACTTGCTCCAAGCGAAAGATTGTTCTATGAAAAGTTATGGAGGGGGGGGGGGTCTCTAAAAACATTAAAAAATTTAATTTAAAGTACCAGACTGACGTTTAAGCATAACTAGAGCAAATTGTACAGTAAGCAGTACGACAGAACAGGACTGTACACCAAATGAATCATTTTTCAAAACGGCGCCATTAAATACTGATTTGAGCAATGAGTAAAGATATTGTCGTATTTCTGAAAAAAAATGATAATTTTCTTTTTTACTTTTGTAGAGAAACCACAGCAGTAAATTATCATTTTTTTGAATAAAAAACAAGGATGTAATTTGTCTTCGGACCCTTGGTACAGCCTTAAAGAGTACCTTCATGGCTCGGCAATGGATGGTAATTTGAAATCACACCGGCAGTCCCTTTAATGGGGAAAAAGAAGTTAAAGGTTTAAATGAGATTTGAATTTACAAAGGTCATATTGGCGGCGGGTTGACTTGGTTCATTTAAAGAAAACTATGACTTACATTTTAAACCTGGGTCGGTTAATAAATAATTGGGAGGGAGGGGGGGGGGGGTAAACGTTTTAACGGGGCTTTATGAGGCCTTTGTTCAGCCATACAGCACTAGAGCATAAAATTACAAATTTTTCATCAAAACACAAGACAATGAATCGGTTGACAGGGTTTTCACACAGAAATTCTCAAAGCTGAGGTTGAAATATTACAGGAAAGCTTGATGGATTTATTTCTTTTCACAATTAATCATTTAAAAAATACTAATTCAAACACGCGGTTTACTTTCTATATACTTTATTAGACAGCTTAATCTTTTCAATGGTTTCAACTTGGAAAAGAAATAACATAAGTATGAGTGAAGAAAGTTAGGTTCACACGTTAATTATAATTTGAAAATCAAAACCATTCTTCAAATTCTCTGAACCGTTAAATAAAGTGCAAAGTTGAGAAATATATAAATTTTTAAAGGATTGATAAACTTTTAAGAGAAAAGCTTTAATTTTTTTATAATGGGAAAATTTGGAATATTTTCTTTTGTTGCGAAATCCAGTTTTTTATTATAGTAGGCCCAAAAATTTAACAAAAAATTTAAAAAGATTAAAATTAAAAAAACAACTTAATATTTGTAATTTTACTTCCAAAAACGCTTTAATACAAAAACCTAAATTGGGTCTAAACCGAGATTTGATTTGTCAAAAGAAAAGGTAGATAAAATTGACTTTTGTACCGAAGAAACTACAATTATTTGAATATTTAAAAAATATTCGATTAAGAAAAAATTTGCTGTATTTATGCATGGGCAAAATTTCAGGTTCAGATCCGATTCAATACTGAAATGTAGGGGGGGGCTTCTTCTCATCAAAACTCGGAATGCACCAATTCCAACTATGAAAATCCGCCAAATACAACATTAAACCGGTTTTATGAACTAAATCCTCTTGAAAAATAGATGCAACTTAAATTAGGGAGTTGCTAACTGTCATGAAATCTATTTAAATGATTTGAAAGGAAGTTGAGTTCAAGGGAGGTTTAATATTGGATACAGCACTCCCTCTTTTCTTCTTATCCTTCCCTATCCGTCCTAACTGTCTGTTCTTATTTTATCCAGCCAAACTGGTCTTCTTCTTATCCTTCCTTATCCGTCTTAGCTATCTGTTCTTATTCTATCTAGCCAAACTGGTGTTCTTCTTATCCTTCCCTATCCGTCCTAGCTATTTGTTCTTATTCTGTCTATCCAAACTGGTGTTTGCAGCTACTTTTTTGTCTTTAAGATGAAATAACAAAAAAACAAGTCCAAGTTGTAAGATAGCACGAATATATATCAAGTATTTATCTAAATGATTGGATTGAATGATTTAAAAGCCCGTGAACCTGTTCTTGCATGAAATTGAACACTTTACTGCATGAAGACACTTTCAACAATTATCTAGAATGACAAACCTTTAATCTTCACCCTGTTCCCCTTCCCTTGATTTTCACCCAGTACCCCCCCCCCCCAGCCCCTGTAATCTTCAGTCAAACTTCCTCCCCCCTGTTCTGTTCAATGACACCTAATTTTCGATTGCCTTGCTCACTTCAATTAGATGCTGATCTACGTTCTCTTGCTCTAGCTTACTTAAGTTTTCATCTGCTCTATGGAGAAGCGGGGGAAGACAGGCGGCCAAAAACCACAAGATTTCCCCTTCCTTGTCACATATTAGCTTTCTTGTCTTCCGGCAGCCATAAGCAACAACCATTTGGTCTTCATGCCAATACATTCGAGTTTTCCGACAAGTACTACGTTTTTATTTGATAAACTTTAGATAACGTGGCTGAATTTTTGAAAATCGCAATTTCAATGCACTAAATTTACTATTTAAAAACGTAATAATTGCCTGAAGACTCAACTGTTGTGGCATGGAAGACCGACGGGTTGTGGCTTATGGCTGCCGGAAGACAAAAAAGCTAATGTGCTACTGTAATTGTTGTTTACAAATCAACTTATTACGGGAATTGTGTACACTGCACAGTTGTTGTGTTTCATGTTAACGGGAATATTTAAAAAATCAAAACCTGAGTCTACAAGCCGTCTTCCTATTCCATGCACAGTATTATAGGTCCCACTTTATGGGATTAGATTGATTCATTTGTATAGGTACTATAGGTAGATTAGGTTCCAAATGAAAAAAGTAGAAAGGTAGATACTAAATGATAAAAGTATGTAGATAGGTAGATACTGAATGAGAAGGGTAGATAAGTAGATACTGAATGAGAAAGATAGATAGGTAGATACTGAATGATAAAGTAAATTAGTAGATATTGAATACTTTATAAATAATGACTGAGAAGTGTTGATAGGTAGATACTAAATGAAAAGGGTAGAAAGGTAGATACTAAATGATAATAGTAGATAGGTAGAAATTGAATGACAAGGGTAGATAGGTAGACTAGATACTGAATGATAGACAAATATGCTTAAACTCCTGGCAGAAACGAACCCTAAGGTATCAACAGTTTGAACGTAGAGAAATTAACTTTAGAAATTGTCTGTCAAAATTTCACACTCCGTGAGAAATAATTTGAAGGATAGTTAACAAAATAGATAGAAAAATGCATTTGTATAGAAATAGATATTTTGTAGTTTAAAAGTTTATCTATATTCTTCAAATATAGTTCAGAGAACAAGACGAACTTGGGTGTAAACTGTAGTGTCAGCTAGATGAGAGGCGTGAGATAGTTCCAATTATATCCGACAGATGGCAACACCTGACACCTCGACTAATTAATGACTAGACTAAAACTGGTCATTTTCACGCTAATCTGGTTATTTGCAATGTGATTCATAAATGTGCAGTTAGATTTTATGAGAAAACGATCTTTGCAATGTTAACCCGGTAGGATGGCAGGGAACACTTCCAGGCGATTCCATGTTCCGGATATTGCAATCGAGGAGGGGTGGGGTTCTTTGTTTTTTTGTTAGCTTGGAGAAAGGCCTAGGTTGAGGACCTAAGGAATTAAACCATTTTAATACCCCCCCCTCCTAAATGGTAAAGCAAAAACATTTTACATTAAGCATCTAAATTAATTTTTCTTTATATACAAAAGGTACAAAATGAAGGGGGGGGGGGCGGGCATATCGAGTGGGGGACCCACCCCTTCCACACTTTTGTCTAGCATTAAGTACTGAACAGTAATTTTATTATTTAATTGTGGATTCTAAGTTACCTTCGCATTTCTTTTCCAGGAAATATACGGATTATCAGATTTAAACGCTATTATCCTTTTCGATCAGATAAAGGTTTTAAGATCATGGGTACCGTTGTGAATCAGGCATTGCATGGAGGGTCACTTAAAGCAACGCTTACAGTCCCTTTCAGTAAAATAAAAAGGAAGATATTTAATCCACACATTTCTGGTCCGCACGCACTGTACTTGTATACTGAAAATTAATGGATTAATGAATTTAAGATTTGAATAACAAACTGTCAGAGCAAACCTTAAAATCATCCAGGATCGAACCAGGCCTACCTGCTCTTATAAAAACAACACTAAAAATAGTCTGTTCACCGTAAACTGAATACAAACTAAAAAATGTCTGAGTTTTTTTCTCTCACATAAATTTTCAACGAAAGTATTTTTGGAAATTATCTATCTGTATAAAAAAAACAGACATTCATATTTATGTTACGTATAGCTGGCCAAACGGCTGGACTGATTGGGGCTTAATTTTTTTTTGTGGACACTCATGGGTGGCCGGGAGGGGGGGGGGTTATAGGCGAGATTTCAAAAAAATGTTCTTCAAAATAATTTTTTCACGGGCAACGCCGGGCCCTTCAGCTTATAGTTAGCAATAAAATAATAAAAAAGATAAAATTACAGTTTTTTAAAAATCAATGTGTTTATGAAATTTTTTTCAATGCGATCCCTTTAGCATGATTCACCTTATATCTTTGAACTGTAGTACAGAAAGATAAACAGAGTCAGCATGGTGTCCCAATAAATATAAAAGTTATGACTAATTTTATTCAATTATGATTGCTGACTTATCTAAATCTTTGGAAATTGTGGATTTATCAAAAATCTAAATTGCCCATATTAACTATAATATTTGATTTAAATCAGAAGAACATTCTTAAAACCCACATCATTTAAACAGCTTTACACAACCAGTACTATACAGCTTTACACAACCAGTATTATACAGCTGTACACAACCAGTATTATACAGCTTTACACAACCAGTATTATACAGCTTTACACAACCAGTATTATGCAGCTTTACACAACCAGTATTATACAGCTTTACACAACCAGTATTATACAGCTTTACACATCCAATATTATACAACTTTACACAACCAGTATTATACAGCTTTACACAACCAGTATTAGAAGTTGGATCTCTTTATGTTTTCTCTACTTATGAACTTTTTGTTAATTTCCTTGTTTAGTTTATTCGTCCCCCTGATCTAATAAAAGGGGATGTAAACGTACTTTCAAGTGAACCTTCAAGCAAATTTGGTATTGCCCGATTCACTAGGGTACCATTGTAAACTTTACTTAATAAATAATATGGAAGATATTGTCGTTTATCTATGTTGAAAAGTGTTAAATTCTGGGAATTCTTATATGTTTTCCTGCAATATAAATGAGTTAGTTACCTTTGAAAAGAAGCCACAAAAGAAAATATTTATATCTAATTCATACTTTATCAGACAAATTGATTTTAAGGGAGCTGGTGTGAATCAAGCATTGCCATGTTTTTATGGAGGGTCACTTGAAATTACGCAATTACAGTCCCTTTAAGCCTGCATTGTTTGTGGCCCGAAATTGACCAATTTTAAAGATTGCCAATTAAGAGAAGAACAATGACGTTCATTAATAGTTTGAAGTAAGATAAGAATTAAATAAACTGTGTTCAGACATCTTGCCAGGTTTGGTATTTAATTTGCACATTATAATCTCATTCCTTTAAATGTTTCGGCCTTCATTTCTTATCCCCATATTTCAAATCAAAGGACTAATGTGTTAGGAAGAGTGTCCATATAAATACTATTTCTAGGGCCGGGCGAATTTAAATTTAAACAAGTTGATTAAAAGTAAAGAGAAATGTTTAGCAAAACAAAAGAAAAAACATTTCTCCCGCACAATGTTTTGTCAGTAAAGTGGATTTTCTGTCGGAGATTAAAATTATGTTAGCATACCTCAAGTGAACATTTTTTAAAACGCAAATGACCAGCCCTACCCTCATAATTTTCCATGTGCGCGTCTGACATAAAGCCCCTATGGAGAACAATAACGGGAAGAAAGTATGAAAGGCTTAAGTGCTTTATTTTCAAAGCATGCATTACATTGTTGTAAGGCAGTAATCCAGACCTAAATACTGACCAAGGAGGATTGCGTTTAGAAATTTAGAAAACAGACCAGTCCTAATCCCAGACAGGATTAATGCAAATACACCTCTCGGAAAATGCGCGAGTAAATTAGCATAATGCCCCGTTACTTACACTGATTAGTGATCAAGTCGTCTTTGTTAAACAGATCTTTGATGTTAATCGCTGCAATCAGAACTATACTGTATTACTGTGCACATAATTTGACATGCATACTTTCATCTACGGTATGAAATAGTTAGCTAAGGATTTAGAAGTTGTTAGTTCAAGAATCGATTGGAGATAGAATAGATAGGGTTTTATATCTATAAGAAGTTGACATTTGAAAAGCAGGACCTATAAAGGAGCAATGATAATATTTGTTTTCTTTTTAGGTTCACAAGACTTGAACCGCCCCCTGCCTCCTTCTTACAACAAGTTCTCCTCCCTGGATAGGCGGGCTCTCACCAGGCGGCACCAGCCAAACCAAACCGTGCAGAATCAACCAAACCAAACTGTTCAGAATCAACCAAACCAAACCTCGGCTGGGACACCAAACCAAATAAAACTCTCCACCTTCAACCCTCAAGAACCTAAGGAATTAAACCATTTTAATAATTTTACCGTGTTTATACACATACAAAATGGACGCCATTTTGGATTTTTTCTTTGGGATTTTAAATTGTTTAACTTTCTAGGTAAAAGCATCACCTCCTGAGAGAAGACATAGTTCTTATATTCCTTCAAGTTCGTTACAAAGAACCCCTAGTCAGTCCAGCGAGTATAGGTAGGTTAACTTTGGACTAAACCAATAGTTACATAGAACCCCTAGTCAGTCCAGCTAGTATAGGTAGGTCAACTTTGGACTAAACCATATAGTTACATAGAATCCCTAGTCAGTCCAGCGAGTATAGGTAGGTCAACTTTGGACTAAACCATATAGTTACATAGAACCCCTAGTCAGTCCAGCTAGTATAGGTAGGTCAACTTTGGGATTAACCATATAGTTACATAGAATCCCTAGTCAGTCCAGCGAGTATAGGTAGGTCAACTTTGGGATAAACCATATAGTTGCATAGAACCCCTAGTCAGTCCAGCAAGTAAAGGTAGGTCAACTTTGGGATTAACCATATAGTTACATAGAATCCCTAGTCAGTGCAACGAGTATAGGTAGGTCAACTTTGGACTAAACCATATAGTTGCATAGAACCCCTAGTCAGTCCAGCGAGTATAGGTAGGTCAACTTTGGACTAAACCATATAGTTACATGGAACCCCTAGTCAGTCCAGCAAGTATAGGTAGGTTAACTTCAGGATAAACCATACACAGTCGTCGTTGTATATATTAATACAGTAAATACGACTTTCGTTGACGTTGAAACTTTTCATTAAAAATGACCATGTTGGAAATGGAAAATTCAATAGAAAAGTCGTCATTTTTGTATTGATATAATAGTAAACCACTGTAGTTAGGACTAGTTTGCTAGTTAAAGTGTAAAAATTAGAAAATTGAGAAAAACTGCGAGGGCCAATTTTTTCTTAATTTTTAATCACATTTTTCAAAAATTGAATTCACTTTCCTCTTCAATGAAACGATCCCAATCATGTAAAACATTGTATTTTCATAAACTTTCAGTATTATGAATTTTGAATTTTTCTTTATATTTATACATTCGTCTAGATTCGCAACAATAAATGAATTATAAATTGTCTAAATATGAAATAGTTAATATAAAATATTTTGGTCATTTTCAAAATCTAAAAAGTGTACAGGAAGTGTACAACATTCACTTGTTAAAATGTAGGACAAATGATTGAAGGAATATAAAACCTATTTATAATTGATAAACTGATTCTTTGAATCCCTGAATGTTTAATGGGACACCCTGTATCTTGCATCATTCATTTTATATTTTTCCATTGTTCAGATTGAAGAGAGGAAAAGTAGACGGAGTGAATTCTATGAATGTAAACGGTCTGCCGGAACCTTTTAGAACGTATCATCATCCCATAGACAAACCTACCTACCTTCATTCAGACAAACCTAGCTATTCAGACAAACCTAGCTATACAGAAAAACCTAGCTATTCAGACAAACCTAGCTTTTCAGAGAAACCTAGCTATTCAGAGAAACCTAGCTATATCTCCACCGAAAAACCTCCCTACGCCCTCCAAGAGAAATCACACCAGAATCCAGAAAAATTCCGACCTCAATCAGTTCGATCCACAGAGTCTAGAAACAGGTTGACCTTTTGATCCTTAAAAGAATGATATTTTGATGCAGTCCTGCACAGGGCAACAGTGCAGATACATTCATTCATCACGCTTTTACCTTAAATACAGGGTGTCACGAACAAATCTATTTTCCTGAATTTTAGTCGGGAACAAATTTTGTTAGATGCAAATTTGTGGAAAACTTATTTTTTTGTGTAATCCCCTGTACACTTCCAGGCGATTCCATGTTCCGGATATTGCAATCGAGGAGGGGTGGGGTTCTTTGTTTTTTTGTTAGCTTGGAGAAAGGCCTAGGTTGAGGGGGGGGGGTGGTTAATAGAAGCATCGTTTACCACAAAACAACGCTTCGAGTCATTTATTTATAATATTTATTTTATTTTTATGTTCCAGGAACAGTGGAGCAGGAACACCACAGTTTCAGGCACTTGCAGGAACACAATACTCAAAAAATCAGGAACATAGATCATTCATGGCAATTATAGAGAAAAATAACAAAACAAGAAAATTAGAATTATAACTGTTAAAGCATTTATAAGAATAATAATAACAGCCCTAATACAAAGTTTTATAAGTTTCATTTTAAGTTTTAAGAAAGTTAATAATTATTTGCAATTTGCATAAAAGATAAATAAATCAATGTTAAAAATTAAAAGAAACTAACCAAAGATTGAAAAGTTTGGTTTAGAATTAGTTTTCCCACAATTTATACTAATTGGAACTTGAAGGTTTCAGGGTTCGGTGCTTTCAGGGAGTTATTTTTAGAGGGATTTATGGAGGGATTCATGGAGGGATTGATGTGGGGATCTATGGAGGGATTTATTGAAGGATTTTTGGAGGGATTTATGGAGGGATTCATGGTGGGATTGATGGGGGGATTTATGGAAGGATTAATTGAAGGATTTTTGGAGGGATTTATGGAGGGATTCATGGAGGGATTGATGATGGGGGATTTATGGATGGATTTATTGAAGGATTTTTGGAGGGATTTATGGAGGGATTCATGAAGGGATTGATGGGGGAATTTATGGATGGATTAATTGAAGGATTTTTGGAGGAATCTATGGAGGAATTCAATGTTTAAATGTTAGTTTAATGAGAGATTGATGGAGGAATATGGAGAAATATAAGGAGAAATTTAAATGATTTAAAACAAGATTGATTAGAAATTTTGGAGGGATTATTGGAGGGTTTGAAATAGTTGTGAATCAATTGATTACAAATTTTGAACGATTTTGAATTATCTAATTAAAAAAGATAAATGATGAATTAAATAAATAAAATTTAAATAAGAAGTTGAAAGATGGGAACAACTGATAAAATAGCTAGTTCTCACACTAATTAATATTCTGATATTTCTCAATCAAGCCAATTTAAAATGATTGTGATTAATAATTTTCATTTTCTGATCGTTATGTTAATTCAGGGCTCTCTTACAAATTTGAACAATCAGTTTATTCACTATCAGACAATCAGCCGAGGTAGAAACAACAGATCTGATCTAGGTAACATATCAGTTTAATCAGTCAGGAGGGGGGGGGGCTGATTAAATTGAACAAGATGTTCACGCCTTCATGTTGACAGATGGGCAGTCGAAAGACTAGAGATGGGCATCGTTTTTTTAACGAACAAAATTTTTCGATGAAAAAACAAATGATGGACGAACGAAATGGATTGTTTAGAGAAATACTTTCTTTTTGTTAAATACGAACGAAAAAAACGAATTAAAATGTTTCGGACAAACTTTAGAAAACTATCGTTGTTTTACTGAACGAAGAAATTTTCCAAAAGATTTGATAAAAGGATTATTTTTTCTTACTGAACCATTAATTTTATGGAACTTATTATTTAAAAATTATTAGTTTTTACTGAAAGATTGATTTTTTTGAAAAAAGTATTAAAAAACCCGTTTTTTTAACTGAACAAACGATTTTACTTAACTAACGATTTTACTAATCTAACGATCATACTAAACGATCAATCAGTGGGAAAACGACAGAAATAGATAGAAAATGAACGATAATCTTGAGAGCGAACGAAATTAATTTTTTTGAACGTTTGAAATGGGTCATTCACAAAATGAAAACAAGTCAAATGTGCCCATCTCTATAGTCAGGACTAGCTTCAGGACTTATATTTCCACTTAAACATGAATTGGAAAAGAAGGAATAGATAGATTAATTGATGAATATACAGATGAATAAATTAAAAGATTAAGGGATGAATATATAATATATAAAAGGATGATTATATAAAAGGATGAATATAAAAAAGGATGATTATATCAAAGGATGAATATATAAAAGGATGAAAATATCAAAGGATGAATATATCAAAGGATGAATATATCAAAGGATGAATATATAAAAGGATGAATATATCAAAAGATGAATATATCAAAGGATGAATATATCAAAGGATGAAAATATCAAAGGATAAATATATCAAAGGATGAATATATCAAAGGATAAATATATCAAAGGATGAATAAATCTATCTATCTATCTATCTAGAGACTGGTTATGAGGGTAGTGATGAGGATTATCTAACTCCTTCTCCCTCTGACAGTGCTGTAGGAGATGTAGACTCCATCCTCAAGGTACTAAACATATTTTTTTTCATTTAAAGGTTTTAAGGGTATCAGTGCTATCGGTGTCTCAAATTCCCCAAAAAAACTGTTTCAATTGAGCACCGGCTTAAATCTTGAAAAATTGAATACAATTTTAAGTGCAACCAACCATATTTGAGCCGCGGCTTAAATTCTTTAAATTCGGCCTCGAGCTCCTTAAAGAGGAACCACTTAAAATTCTGTGGACATTATCTTTAAAATGACAAAATTTATTTACATTTTTATTTTTTTTCATTTTAGGAGAAGGATTCTGAGATTATTTTCCTGAGGGAAACAATGGAACAGAATGAACATGTTATTTTCAAGGTAAAGTAGGGGGTACATCACGAATTCGAATAAAAAGGGGGGAGGGAGGTAGGGGGGCAGGGGGTAGGATGATGAACATGCAATTTGTGTAAAATGATATAAGCTGTGTATTTTCGACCAAATTTGAATACGTCCGCTCATTTTTTTAAATTCATTCGAAGCAATAATATAATTTAATCTATTCAGAAAACAGAACTTTTGTATTCTGGATTTTGGGATTAAGAATTATTTTTCGTAATATGGACATGGACAACTTACATGTTAATTTAATTTTTCTTCAATATCTCGTGTTTGTCATACCCTGCAGAGATAACTAAAGTGAAGGGATTAAGTATTAATCCTCACTTTGGATATTTAGTTCAACTGTTCTAGATTAAGGATACTCCATACAAAAGTTTCCAGCTCAGGGCACATTATAAATCAGTTAAAATTAACATCATTGTTTGCGACAATTCATAAGATAAAGATGGAAAAATATTAAAATAATTCCACTGTTTTCTGGTAATCACTGTAACATCGTCCTATCTAGGTTTACGAGGAGAAAGAGAGAATGTGGGATAGAGAACTGAAGAAGATAAAAGCACTTTATGAAACTAGATTAAGGAATAATCAACAGAAAGCAAGCAAAATGGAGGCTTCTCTTCTCAACCAAACTTTCCAGGTTAGTTCTGCAGTCCTGACCAGGGGGGGGGGTCCAGTTGCCTATTTCACCCCAAACTAACCAGAGTGAGAAGCATTCGGTATTTTTTATTTGAAATAAAACATGTTTTGGTCTATGATTCAACAATCTTTAAACTTATAGATCTGTTTATTTATACTTTTGCATTCAAAACGTATATACCGACAAAAAAGTATTAAAGAAAAAATTAAATTATGCAAAATTATGCATAATGGGTCAAATTGTGATCGAAAGTCGCAGCTTTCTGACATATTGACAGAACCGTTTAGTCCACGTGATTTGTCTATTTTCTTATTTCTTATTTTTCTGTTTGTATTTTTGGCTATTTCTATTTTTCTATTTATATATTTTTCAATTCTTTTTTTAACTTTCTATTTTTCTATTTCTTGTTCTGTTTATAAATTTTTTCTGTTTTTTAGTTTTTTCTATTTTTTTTATAAACATTTAAAATTTTTTATTTTTGTCTACTTTTCTATTTATTTATATGTTTTTTGTCTCTTTGTCTCTGTGCCTATGTGTCTGTTTGTCTATGTATCTATTTGATATGTTTCTATTTGTCTATGTGTCTATTTTCCTATGTGTATATTTGTCTATGTGTCAATTAGTCTATGTGTCTATTTGTCTATGTGTCTATTTTTCTATTTGTATATTTTCCTATGTGTCTATCTTCCTATGTGTCTATTTGCCCATGTGTCAATTTGTATATTTGTTTATGTGTCTATTTGTCCATTTCTTTATTTTTCTATTCGTCTTTTGTCTATTTTTCCATTTTTCTATGTGTCTATTTGTCCATTTGTTTTTTGTCTATTAATCTATTTATCTTTTTTTCTATATTTCTTTTTTGTCTACTTTCCTACCTTCCTATATATCTATTAGTTTTTTTTGTCAACCTGTCTATTTGTCTTTTTGTCTATTTCTATTTGCCTATGTGTCTATGTGTCTAGTTGTGTACTAATTTAGCTGTCTTTATGTCTAAAAGTCTAGATGTACTCATGGCCCAACTTTTTTCATGTCCAAGGATATTGTAACGTTTTATTAGGTCGGGGAGGGGGAGAGAAGGGGAAAATTACCTAATTGTATAATTAGAATAGAATATAATTTAGATTTTAATTTTTTTTTAATTTGATATCATGGAGTTTGTATTTCAGAAGTTTTTATTTTCAGGAGTTTGTCTCGTCAGGAGTTTGTCCCGTCAGGAGTTTGTCTTTCAGGAGTTTGTCTTTTCAGGAGTTTATCTTTCAGGAGTTTGTCTTTCAGGAGTTTGTCATGGCGCCTACCAAGCAGTTACTTATTCTGAAATATTAATGGTTTACACCGTTAGGTTTTAAACATTTCTGGTGGGACAAATATTAATATTAATATTATATTTTTCACAGTACGTTTGTTAGTCAATTAGCTCGATATACAGATAAAACAGTTACGAAAATAAAATAAATCATTCTATTTAGCTGCAGACGGATAAGGGAAAGCTAGAAGCAGAATTGAAGGACTTAAACGTTCGAAGAGAACAACAGCTGAAGGAGAATGCAAAACTGAAAGATCAACTTGAATCACTGAGGTAATAACTGTTGACACTTGTGACGTAAGAATACAGATAGAGTGTACAAATTCTACGTTGCCATCTATTCTACTAAAATCTATTTGGTAATCTCTGTTTGTCTGTTTTTTTATCTGTTTGTATGTCCGATCATAACTCCGGCCCCCCCTCTTAATGATATAAACACCATGTTTAGGATAAGAATTGCAGTCCTGAAAAGTCACACTTGGAAATTTCTGAATGACAAAACCAAGCTTGAAGAGACTTGAAAAAAATAAACTTTTTTATTTAAATCGACATAGACATTGTATATACATTATACATCTCTCTCTAAATATATTTTGGATTTCTGTTTGTTTGTATCCAATAAACATCAAAACGTCTTCTATATTTATAAAGTTGTAATCTCTGTTTGGGTGTCTGTCTGTTTGTTTGTCCGATCATAACGCAGCCCGCAGGAACTCCTGGACCGATTTGCCTCAAATTTTGATTGTGGAACTTTGGAGACCCAAGGGAATTTTCTTAGCTTTGGTTTGAGATTCTAAGTTGAGTGGGTCGATTTCATAAGCAAAAATTTAGTTTCCCGGTAAATCGTTCAAGTGGGGGTAAACGGCGGAGTAAATTTTAGTAACCTGGGCAGCGCTGGGTTCCCAAGCTAGTCATACATATTAAGGACAAAAAAGCAGCAATTCAAAAATGAAACTATTGCTAGAAAAATGACTATAGGCGCCATGGAAAGCTAAGCTTCCAATATTTAATGCATAAAATAAATAATAAATGTCAGATACAAGTTTATCTCTAATTTGAAATATTATTAACGCTAATCTGTTTTCATCATTTACGTAATGCACTTTGGTACACAATCAGCCAGCCTTTAATGCTTAAATTATGCCTGATGATTGCCTGGGTTTATGCTTGCTTCTTCAACTATTGAAGGGACCGTACCTCATTCAGGGAATCTTCACAAAGGGACTCTTAACAAATTGGAGATATTTAGGATCACAAGAAGATTCAATTGTTGGGAATAAAAATATATATAATCATATTTATTTATTTAAGCACAAAAACAAGCAAAATATATTAACACTTTAGAGTCTAATGTCAAATTTATTATTAATAAATTGTACTTTTCATTCTGAGAACCAAAACTCATTTTACTTGCAATGTGCAATATTGATCTATCATTGGTCAAATCTAAAAATGGGAATAAAGAAGTAAGCTATTAAGTAAGACTCAGTTTAATTTATTAAAACTGGGTAAATTTCAATGCATTCTAAAGTTTTCAGGTTAGGAATCTATGTGATGAAAATTGGCACGGTGAGAAATATTCCTAAATAATGAACAGTCTCTTTAAAATTGCGTATGCGTATTTGTGGTATAAGGGCTCGTTAGTATGAGTGATGAACATCATGTAAGTTGCACTAACAGTAAATACTATCTATATATCTATCTATCTATCTATCTATCTATCTATCTATCTATCTATCTATCTATCTATCTATCTATCTAACTATCTATCTATTTATTGTACTGATTGTTCTGTATTTCTTCATGTGTTACGTCAAGTGTCAATATCTGTTAAACCGTGTGCTACATCCATCCAAGCCATCAGCCAACATTCTTTAATCTTCAACACTCTTCAGCACTCTTCAACACTCTTCAACACTCTTCAACACTCTTCAACACTCTTCAACACTCTTCAACACTCTTCAGCACTCTTCAACACTCTTCAACACTTTCAACACTTTTCAACACTCTTCAACATTCTTCAACACTCTTCAACACTCTTCAACACTCTTTAACACTCTTCAACACTCTTCAGCACTCTTCAACACTCTTCAACACTCTTCAACACTCTTCAACACTCTTCAACACTCTTCAACACTTTTCAACATTCTTCAACACTCTTCAACACTCTTCAACACATTCACATTTAATTTTCAGTTTTTCATATTATTTGCTATATCTTTTTTTAAATTTCAAATTTATTTGGAGTAGAATATTAAGAAACTAGGCTATCAGGGCGCTCGCGCCTTTCTTCTAATTCAATTTTTCAGCATCTTCTCTTCGAAAAAAAAAAAATAACAAATTTTGCTAATTAACAATTTTTCAAAATTTTATGAAAATCAACAATTTTTGGAAACATCTCAAAATGTTTGCCCAATTGGTTCAGCCGTTTTGATGTTTATTGCATAAAAACAAACAGACAAGCAAGGTATAAAAATATTAGGCTTTTAGGGCGCTTCCCCTCCATATTCTCTTTTAATTGTGAACATTTTCTCTTTGTATACATTATAAAACAAAAACAAAACACAAATTCGCGGATTTTATCAAAAACAAATTCGTAACTTCAAAAATTTTAAAAAATCAAATTTTGTTAGAGGCAAATTTTAAAAAATTCGATCATCCATAACCGTGAGGTCCCACATAAAATATAGGCCCAAACGGTTCTGCCGGTTTGACGTTTATTGGATACAAACAAATAGACACCCAAACAAACAGACAAGCAAAGTATATACAAATATATTGATTGCGATCATATCCTGAATTTGAAAAAAGTTATATATGAAAAAGAATACATACATGGAAGTCTTTATATCTAGATATCTACATATAGATAGATAGGAAGATAATTGGATAGATAGATAGATAGAAAGAAAGTTTTGGTTGAAAGTAAGGACCAAGTTAAAGCTAACTAATTAGTAAACTCACACTAGGGGGTGCCCTATACTCACAGACAGGGACTTTTACAGGGGGTGAGCATGGGGGATGACCCCTCCCTCTCACAAAGACCTCTCCCTACGACCCCCCCCCCTGGCCCCGCTGAAAGTAAAAAAAGACTACCTTCGGACAATATTATGTTTAATAACTCTTTTCTTTTCTGCAAAAGTCTTTTTTGTATGTATGAACATTAAATAATGTATCAGCCTGGGCCCTGGACCAACTAGAGTAATGTACATTCAGTACCATAGGATCGGGTCAGTACACGCTGTTATCTGGCAGGCCGGTACAAACAGGGCAGGTCCTGTTCGAATTCAAATTTACTACGGCCCAGAGTGTAAAATTGTGAATTGGTGAATAATTAAACAACCTTTAAACTTACAGATTTTTTTTTAACTTTCTCATTCTAAACGCATTTAGCCAAAAAATTGTAAAAAAAGATCAAACAAAAAGTTTTTGTTTAATTGTTTAAATTGGGATCGAAATCCAAAGTTTGCTGGAGCAGGACCCAACAGCTAGATTAGTGTGGTATATGTACACCGTACATTAATGTGCATATATGTACATTATTAATATTTCAAAAAGATTTTGTTAAAAATCTAATAAAAAATCTTTATTTTCAGGGAGGAGAAAGAAAAAGTGGAAGAAGAACGGAAAACTGAAAACAAAAATAAAAAAGTGAATATTTAAATCTTAATTTAAGTATTATTAATATTATTATGAATTTAAATATTTCAATCTTAATTTAAATATGTTAATTCTGACCATTGTCTGCTTCGTTGGCCGCTTAAATCCGCAGGTCACTTTCATAGAGAAACCACAATTAAAACTGCTCAGTTTTTAGATAAAATCTTCAATTTGCTTGCGATCTAAAGAGTAACGTTGTGAATTGCAATTAACCCTATAAACTCTTTAAGAAACTCTTTAAGAAACATGGGAAACTGTTCAGTCTATTTTAACTGGTTTTATAACATTTAAATTAAACAGTTTTTTGCAGATTTTATTCAAATTAAGGTTTTACACAAAATGTGTTAATTTGTGTTGGCCCAAGTAGCATGAATGACGGATTGATGAAATGAATGATAACTAGCTAACAACCTAATCAAAATTGTAATTGGAAATAACATGGAATTGGGTAAAAACAAAATATGATATGATAAATAAAAATTCCCCCCCCCCCCTACTCTTCTCCTCCCTTCTTCGTAAAACCCATCTCTAATAGGATAAAAAATTAACTAATAAAAGACCTATCAATCATTTACAAATCAAATAAGCTTAAATTCTAACTTTAAAAGTTTCAATTATGAACTTATAAATCAAAAGTTCTCGACTCTGATTGCAAATCTGCCATTTATCGTATTTTCATCGTTTTCGGTTTTATCGATATAAAATTTTCATTTTTGGACCTGTTTTAGCACTTAATTACCTTTAAATAGATATTTGGGATGACAAATTAATAAATGACTTATTTTAGAGGGATGAGGAGGAACTATGTGATGAGGATGAGGAGAAAACAAGAATGAAAGATGAAATAGAAAATCTAAAGACAAAAAACAAATTCCTAAATTCAGAAGTCAACAAGTTAAAATCCCTTCTGGAGATCGCTGGAGATTCCTTCTCCCTTCAGGAGATCGCCTCGCAGAAGGAGATCATCATAGAACGGGATCGTGAGATCGAGAACCTGAGCATGGAGCTTGAAAATAAATCCCAGATGATCTCCCAGCTGAAGGAGACTGTGGACGCGCAGGCCGAGCAGTTTGAGGTTGAGACCGCGAACTGGTTGACAGAAAAGGAGAAGGTGATCAGATATCAGAAACAGCTACAGCTGAACTACGTCTCTATGTACAAGAGGAACAAGGTGTTGGAGCAGGAGTTGGAGCAGACCAAGAAGACAATGTCTGTCGAACCTTTGAAATCTGGACACGTGAGTTCGGCCAAGGCAAAGCTGTTTAGTAAATTTTCTAGTAAATTTGGTGACAATTCCTCGTAGTGCAAAAGTCACTTTGTGCAATGCCTTGAATAAGTGAATTTGCTTTAAATAGCAGTGCATTTTATCACGTGTATTTTCTTATTTTTAAGTGAAAGTGCCTTTGTAAGAGTGTCTTATCGTGATGTGGCCTTGATACGGCTATGTCTATGAGTTCATATGACAATACCTCTAATTAATAACTAACAAGCGATTGAAATAAAAGACTCGATATTCTCTAAATAAAGGAAAAAAGACAAAATTTAAGCATCTGCTGTATTAGGTGATTTTTATATGATTATCCATTGTTTCGCTACTATTAAGTAAGAAATCTTCTGTAATTTCTATTTCGACAACATACCGATGAACAATTTGTCTTTCTATTCGTCTTTTTGTCTTTTGTCTGTGGGACAATTTGGCAAAAATCTTAGATCTGTCTATCTGTCTACCTGTTTATCTGTCTATCTGTCTATCTGTCTGTCTTTCTATCTGTCTATTGGTCTATCTGTCTATCTGTCTATAATTAATCTAGTTGAGCGCATGCTTTAATATTTCTATCTGTGATAATCAATAATAATTAATAATAGTTAATACACAATAAATATGAATTATGAATTATAAATCCTAGTTTGAAATATATATTTCAATATTAGTCGATAAGATTTATTTCTTATTTCTTCAATCGATATCTTATTGAATACAAGTCCCGTTAAATAATTTATATTTCTCGTGCTTCAAACGATTTAGCTATGTTGTTGTTATATTATGGATTTCGTAGGAGGAAGTCTAAATAAGTAAAATAAGAATATAGAAATACTATTTATTTAAATTTAAGTGTCTGTTTACATTTTTGAAAATCGTTTTTGTGGCTTCATTTGTTTTAAATATGAAGTAGTAAAATCTCTTTTTTTAAGTTCACCTTTGTCATCTCATGTCAGTGTATATTTTTTTTAAACCAAATCATGGGATTTTCTAAATGAGTTCTGCATTTTTTCTCTCATCCAGTTTGAAACGCTTTGTTTTGTATATGTTCTCTGATATATTTTGGGTAACTTTAATTTAATCCTTATATCTTTGCAGCCTAATTTTGTATACCTTTGATATTATAAACTCTGAATTCTATGTTTAAATAGTCAAAGTTCGAAATATTAAAGTTTTACAACATCAGGTTCCAAAAATGAAGGTATTTTACAGATTAAGATTGAACTTAAAGTGAGCGTTAAGTTCTTTTATGCTCGGGTACTTATCTTCAATCTATCTTGGGACATGTCGGTTTTTTTCTGTGTTTTTTGGAAAACCCTGGATTATCTTGGATGTATATCTAGGTGTGTTTGTGGTATCCTCAGAGTAACCACAGATCTTTATCTCAGAGTTACGCCAGGGTGAACTTCAGACTTAAGCGGAGTTAATACTGAACTTAAGTATAGATTCTTTTACTGATTAAACTGTGGTCTCAGTATTTATTAACTAAGATTTGAATCATATCCAAGAAACGCCTTTATTACTGCTATTCCCCTTGTACATAAAGATCAGAAGAATATAAGACCTGCAGTAGGGGTTGATGGTTGATCCCTGTCCAGTATACAAGCAGATTTTTAATATCTCATATGTACAGTGAGACCCCATATAATGTGAAATAGGAGGACGACTTTTTGACTCAAGTTATGATTTTAATATTAAATAAACATGAAAAACAGCTTTTATGCAGCATAAACAGATTCATTTTACTTGCTATATATAATTAAATACATAATATATATTGCTTAAATCTTGTCTTTCTATTCCACATGTTTAAGGGTCCCACTAGGAATCTTCATTTTTTAATTTATGAACATAATATATAGATAATAATAAATAATAAATAATAATAAATATTCACAATGAAAACTAAAATAAGCTAACTAATATAAAATTTTACAGGATTTTGCTAACTATTTTTTTTTTAAATTGAAGCTAGAAAGAATCAAATTGCAGTTTTTAAAAGAACATGTCCAAGGCTACAAAAAAGTATAAGCGAGTTGGTGAAATAAAACTAAAACTCAAGTCGCTGCGACGTTTCCAACCGACGCCGGTCTTAAAACCTGATGAATAACTTTCATAGAAATATTGACTTTTATTGACATTCCTGGTTCCCTTCATCAGTTGTGAACATGATTCTGTAGTTTCCAAAAGATTTCAATATCTACCATAAAAAAGCTATTTTCATTTTTCATGTATATTCTCATTATTATGCTTAACCCTGAGGGGATGCTAAATGCAAGTAGTAAAACAATTAAAGAATTAAAGAGAACAATTTCAATTTGTTTTACAAACGAACTATACATAGTAGTAAGTAACCGGTAGTTACCCATGACTGGCCCTCTTAAAGTGAGTGTTCGCGAAAAATGAAAGGGGGTATGGGCTTAATGCGATAAAAAAGCGCTTTTGATCGCTACTGATATTACTTCAATCTGTTGCGTCTATAAGGAGAAATTTGTTAAAAACAAATCAATATTTCCAAACAAATCATTCAGATATTACTAACAGTAGTCATCGATTATTTTTCGACGCATTCTTATATAGTTAATATTTCATAATATTTTTGATTTTTTAAAATAATTTTCGCTGGCGCTGGATTTTCGAACATTCCTGGAAAATATGAAAATGTCGTTTTAATTATCAAAAATCCTCGAAACAGGAATAAATATTTTCAAAAGTAACATTCGGATAGTTAAAAAAATATATATATGTTTTATTGATAGATAAATCAATGAGGATATATTATATTATGTATGTATCGGTCAAAATTCTTCCCTTGACTGTATAGAGTTTAATGATAAACCAGTCAAAACTTTTAATATGATCATCTATCATTTAATCTATCTATCTATCTATCTATCTATCTATCTATCTATCTATCTATCTATCTATCTATCTATCTATCATAAGGACGGTTGGTCGATGATAATGAAATGATGACTAATTAATTTATTACCTAATTAAAACAGAATAGCGATGTTTTTAGGTGCATACAATACAAGGGCTGAGAGGGGAGAAGGAAGGGGTGAGGAGTGGGAGGGGGTGAACCTAGACCGGTGGAGGNGGGTCGAGAGGACACTGCACTAGCTATAAAACAGTAGAAGTCAGAGACTATTTTCAATGATGATTCAACAAAAGAAAATTAATCAAATTGGGAATATGATAAATAATGAAATTGTAAAAATTACAAAATAAGTATGTAGAGAGGAAAAAACAAGATATGATAATTGACTACAAAAATGAGAAGAGGTCGACATGATCTCGTTATCCAATGCGGACATTTTTAAAGTTTAGGATGAATGCATAATTTCCCAATTAAAGTTATTCCTGCAGGAAATGACCATCACTTGATATCGAAGAGGAAATAAATAAATGTGTCTGCATAACATGTAGATCAATGCTTCATCCCCAGATTCTTAACACAGAAGTTCAGAACAAATAAAATCTCCTTTCAAAGATGAAATCTTTAGAATAAGAAATTCTAAACCATCAATTATCAACAGTAACAATAGAAGCAAGAAATGGGAAAAGAAAAAAAATGGGCCAAAAATTAAAAGAAGAAGTAATGAGGAAAGAAGAAAACAATGCGGAATGGATTGAGCCAGGGTTTATGCGGGAAATGAAGTAATTGACCCGGGTTTAAGGTTGGCGAGGGCAGGGGGACGAGGGGGGGGGGGTAGATTCTCACTTTCAAGATGTGATGTTTAAGTGTAAGGATAAGAGAGAGGGAGGGGTCAGAGTGTCACAACCACACACCTCCCTCCTCTAACCATTCATTAACAAACTTCCTTTTTTATGATGAATCTTGCCACCCCCACTCTTTCCACTCCCCCTCCCCTCTTTCCACCCTCTTAACATGGATATACTAATGACCGACTCCCCTCCCCCCCCTACCCTACGGCCCCCACCTAACCTCTGACATTTTCATATTTTCTTTCATATTTTTAGAGTTAGGTTTAGCGTAATGAGAATCATTATCTGAATTAGAGATATTTCTCTTTGTTTCTGTATTCACATAGAATTTCACACAAATTATATTCATTGTTAGGGAACACGAGAATGGGTAGATGGAAGGGGAAATGGGGGAGGGGGTTGTAGAAGGGAGAAAAATGGAATTTGGATGGGAGGAAGATTGGAGGTTGATGGGATGTAAATGGGTGGTAAATGGGAGGTAGATGGGAGGTAGATGGGAGGTAAACCACCAGGTAGATGGGAGGTTTATCGATCAGGTAGATGTAAGGTTGATGGGCGGTAGATGGGAGGTAGATGGAAGGTAGATGGGAGGTATATCAACCAGGTAGATGGGAGGTATATGGGAGGTATATCAACCTGGTAGATGGGAGGTATATCAACCAGGTAGATGGGAGGTATATCGACCAGGTAGATGGGAGGTATATCAACCAGGTAGAAGGGAGGTATATCAAACAGGTAGATGGGAGGTATATCGACCAGGTAGATGGGAGGTATATCAACCAGGTAGATGGGAGGCAGATGGTAGGTAGATGGCAGTTAGATGGAAGGTAGATGGCATGAAGTTGGGAGGTAGACGGCATGTAGTTGGGAGGTAGATGGGAGTTAGATGGAAGGTAGATGGGAGGTAGATGAGACTGCAAGATAGTTGGGAGGTTCAGGGAGGTATATCGACCAGGTAGATGGGACTGCAAGATAGTTGGGAGGTTAAGGGAGGTATATCGACCAGGTAGATGGNATATAATATTTTACCCCTCCCCTCCCTTCAATCTTCTTATTTTCCTCGACCTACAAAAGTCAAAAACTTTCTTTTTAAAGATTTAGATATTTATTTCGCTCTGTAATAAATTTCTAAATTAAATGTGCCAAAACAATTTTCTACCAATATGATAATGAATCTTTTAAATCGTTTAAAGATTCTAATTTGAGTGGGTCGACTTTAGTAGCAAAAATTTAGTTTCCAGGTAAAATCATTCAAGTGCGGGTAAACGGCGGGAGTAACTATGAGCTACCTGGGCAGCGCTGAGTTCCCAAGCTAGTACAATATATTATGATACATTTGATCTCTTCTTTTTGTATTATAAATAACAAATACAAAGGAATATAGACAATTTTAATATTTTTTTTCTTCCTATTCTTTACTGTAGTAGTTAAAGAAACAACTTTTTCATATTATCTTAATTAATTTCATTTATTTTTCAGCGCTTTTTACATTTTCGAACATGTGAACGTAAGGGCAAGGATTTGATGGAGTGTGGTTGGCCGAGGGGGGGTATAAACCCGTAGAAGGGTTGTGATNTTACCAAGTCTGGGTATGAAAATACCATTTTAGATAAAACTAATTGCGTTTAAGTATTTAAAGTGTTAAAGTAAATTGTAGGCTGTCTGGTTCTACAACATTTGAAAACAGAAAAACAAAGAATTTTTATTGAAGGAGAAAGACATTGAAACAGAAATACTAGGAGATAGCACGGAGGAAAGGAGGAAAGGAGAAAAGTAGAAAAGGAGAAAATGAGAAAAGGAGAAAAAACAGGAAAGGAGAAAAGAGAAAAAGGAGAAAAGGCGAAAAGAGAAAAAGAAAAAAAGGAGAAAAGAAAAAAGGAGAGGA